CTCCGACTCGTCGTCCTGGTCGTCGTGGTATGGTCACTTGCTGGTTTTGGTCTCCGGTTTGGTTGAATGATAGATTTGATTGGAATCCCGTATATACCTTAAGATCTTCTACTGTATTCTCAAACAGCTATCTAGATCTTGTATCAGTGGAGCACAAGAAAAAGAACAACTCCTTGGAAGAGAGAGAGAGAGAGAGGGGGCGGACGTGTTTGCTAGGTTATGGCATTGTGTGTTCTCTTCCAAGAGCCTAATGCTGTATATATAGAGCTACAGTACGGACCCTAAGGAGAATAGGATAAGGGCTTCTAATATATTAATACTGTGGAGCAACCCCACAATTAATATATTAATAATATTAAAGTGCACCGCAATAATATTATTGCACTCCCTTCACCTATCCCAAATTACATTTGAGACTCCTTATTATAATTATCCGATTTACCTCCCCATGTTTAAGATATAATGTCCATTAATTAATTCAATCACTGATAATCAAGAATTAATTAATATATTATATTAGCGAAGCTAGCGCTCGCTCATAGCATTCATATTATGCCAGAATAAATCCACCTGCAGGGTTTAGCATAATATTCCTTCATGAACTCACTTCGGGGACATCATCAGACTAATGGTGACCGTAAATATTCTAATAGCACATCGAACACATAATGTCATTACCCAATTCATTAAGTATGTCGACCCGGCTTGGATCTCACCCAAAGAATCAAAGCAACAATAATTATGTGCACATGCCTATTTAATATTTTACGGGTTAAGAGCACGCAATAATTAACTGAGGCCTAGTTCGTTTACGACGATCAGTATAAAACGAACATCTCTCTCTGGGATCCTGTTCAATACATAAATGTACTAGTGCAACTAATCGGTCAAGACAAACCGTACGGTTGACACTACAACCGTTCCGATGGGTTGTTCAATTCCATCTAGGTTGTGAACCAATGATTCTTGTGTCGCAAGTAACTGATATAGTGATCTTCAGTACGCCCGATAACGACCCACTTATCTACATGCAAAACAACAGAACGCGGAACTTATTTAACCAAACATAATTCTCATTCATCAAAAAATAACAAGTGTAATATCCACTAAAGCAAAGCTTAAGTATATAACACCAACACACGGGTGTTGTATGTCATCTGTGGATAGTCGCAGATGAAGCCGTCGAGGCAGCGAGAGAGGTAGTCCGTTGCAAGAACGAAAAGGGACGGGGAAAGGGGGTCTCCCTGTCTAAGGCCTCTAGAGGAGGGGAATAAATCGGTGGGGCTACCATTAACCAAGACCGAGAACGTGTAGTGCTCCATGCACGCCTCAACAAAATTGATCCACCGCTCAGAAAATCCCATCTTAGCCAGTGGCTCCCTAAGAAACGGCAACTCCACCCTATCATATGTCTTACCATGTCTAGCTTCAGCGCAATGTTCGGTGCCCGCTTCCAATCCGCATGTGAGATATCTTGGATCTTCTGGGCCAAAAGTATGTTATCACTAATGACCCTATCCTTGACGAAACCACTCTGGTTCGGAGAGATAAGGGAGGGGAGAATAGGGGAAAGACGACCGTTAAGAATTTTCAAAATAAGCTTATTGGCCACGTTACACATGCTGATGGGCCTGTAGTCGGACTAAGAGATCTGATTGGGTCTTTTGGGAATCAAGACGACAGAGGTAGACGTGAAGGAATCTGAAATCCAATGACCGTAGAAGGAATAAAACATTGCCTCCTCAACATCAGGCTCGACTATATCCCAGCAGACCTGATAGAAGAGAGAAGAGAACCCATCAGGGCCAGAAACGCTATTGGGATCAATCCCGAAAACAGCATCCCTAACCTTCTCCCTACTCAGGAGCTCATAGAGGCCGACAAGATAGACCGAATGAGGGATGGTAGGGAAGAGGGAGGCGGTCAGGGCAACGAGAGACCAGAGTCAAAAGTGAAGAGGTTTTGGAAGTGAGCAACAGTCGACTCCCGAATCTGAGACTCCTGGGTCAGGGATGACCCATCAACCTCAATACTATGGATGTACGACTTAGCACGCTTCTACCTAACGAAGCCCTGGAAGAACCTAGTGTTCTGCTCGCCCTCGGCCACTCATCGAACGGCCGCCTTCTGCTTTCAGAAATCCTCCTCCATAAAGAGTCAGAGCTGGTACTCGACATGACAGCGATTCATCGCGGTCCTATTCTCTAGAGTGGGATCCAGGTCATAGGCCCGCTCAGCCTCCGCGTGCGCACTCTGAGCCGCAGAAAGGCGCTGATGGAGGTTTTCCAAAACATCCCAGTTCCACTGTCTCAACCTACGTCGTAGTCTGCCGAGCTTCGCCTCGAGATTGCGCATCCCGAAGAGCCCAGTCGGCTTAAGCCAAGAATCCCTGACAGTGTCATGGAAAGAGTAGGGGCGAACCCACATGTTCTGGAACCTAAAAGAAGCACGGCGGGGGGTGCTCAAAAGTCGACACATAATGAGGAGGGGTGAATGGTCAGATCTAAATCGAGTGAGATGCGTGACGGTCGTGACCGCAAACACCTTCGCCCACGCCTCAGAAATCAAGGCACGATCGAGCCTCTCTTTGAGGTCATCCATAACCCACGTGAAGGGCTCCCCCTCACATCCAGCGTCAATTAACTCGCATTCCGCCACAACCAAGGTGTCCCAGAGATCATATCTCCTGGCCCTATTACACTTGGCATAAACCAAGGTATGGAATATGGGCTCGGAGAGGTGGGCAACAGAAAGCTCGACATGATGCACCTGATCGGTATCCCGGAGGACCAGACAGGTATAGTCACGCGAGTGGAAAAACCTGATCTTATGCGAAATGTTACCCATGCCCGAGTGGAAGCCAAAGCGACGTGATTAGTAGTCAAAATCAGGGGTGCAAATCATCGGCTCAATAAAGCCAATGAAATCAAGTCAATGATCACGGATGAGAGAGTGAAGATAGGCAAGAGTGGCCCTATTAGCCAGGCCCCGGCCATTCCAAGTAATGGATGTGATAGACATATCAACGGTCGCAACAGACACCGGACGGGGTCCACCTGTGGCGAGGCTGAGTCGAGCCACCTGAAGGAGGGGGGAGGTGGCAAAAGGATCGAAGAGCAGGGGAGACAGTCCGTCGTGTCATGCGCGGTGTGGGTCTGGTCTTCGAGGGCTGACGCCCTCGATAGGTGCTTGTAGCCTGCGAATCATCTGGCTGAGAAATCTGACCCAGACCGGCACTAGGAGCCTCTCTTATCTCTGAGGCTGTCTCATGTCTGTCATAGTGTACGAAGGCACTAGAGGCGAAAATCTCACACGAAACGTCATGCTGGGCGCGGTTAAGACTGCATGTCTGCTCAGGAAGGGGAAGAAGAGAGACTCCAGCCGGCAGAGCACTCAGATGCTCGCCGAAATAATGTGGTTGGACACTAGTAATATGCTCAGTCAAACTTCCAATCCCCGCAGGGGGGAGATGTGCCGGCTCATCCCCTTTCGAGGGAGCGGTGACGAAAACAATCCTCATCTCTAGAGAGCGATCCTGGGTAGATGAAAGGACAGGCAAAGTAACAGCGTCAAGAGTATTGTCATCAGATAAATGGATGGGCTTGCCACTGAACAAGGTGGCCGGCTACTCCAGATCATCAACAAGAAGGTCATCATCGTCTAAAAGCGCAAGATCCGAGAGCCTATGGGGGTCACTAGTGGAAGGCTGAGCCTCGTCCTCTGCGTCAGGGGAGAGGACTGTGAAGAACGAGTGTTTGGCCTTGAAGGCCGAATGTAAGGTCTCTCTGGGAAGAAAGCCCGTGGCCTTGGCCTTGGGCCCTACTATAGCCAGCCGCTCCGGCTGGTTAGGATGAACATCCTTCCCAGTTTGGGCAGTGGCGTCCAACACAGCCTTGCCCTTATCCTTGGCCCCCTTTGGGGACCCGAGCGCATGGAGAGGGCCTTTGACCTTACCCTTTTGGTCCCTCCGGCCATTGGAGGGTCCCGGCTGTGACGCACGATGGCGCTGAGGTAGAGTGGGTCGTGGCTTATTGCCACTAATGTAGCAATCGGCCGCTATATGCCCCACATGACTGCACGAGGTGCAAAACACGGGGATCTTCTCATAGATCACCTGCTGAATAAAGGTCTCCGATCCCTGCTCAATCTCAATATCATGGACGGACTCGACCCTGAGGTCGATCTCTACACAAAACCGCGCTACGTTAGCCATCGACTAAAGGGTTGTCGGGGCATCAATACGAATCGGTTGGCCAATACACTTGGCCAGCGTAGTAATGGAATTGCGATCATAAAGGTGGGGTGGGAGGCTGGGAAGACGGCACCACATGGGGACAACGGGTGTCTCCGTCTTCGGGTTGAACTCGGAAGTATACTTGAACACCCTAGCTAGGCATCAACACACCTGGATTGAGGTCTTAAGCCATACCTCATTATAATCCTCAGGGAGATGAAAAGAGACTAGGAGGTGGTTGAAATTATACAACTTATACGAAATCCTACCCTTAAAACCCAATTTACCTAATCCAGTAGAAAGATCTCGGGGGGCAGGGATAGCAAAAGTAAACTTAAAGACCAGGGTGTTTGCTAACTTACCTGCAAGGGTGTCAGCTTCGGCTTGAGTGAATCGGGCCTTCAGTTTGTTTCCCTCTGAGCGAATAATGGTCCCGCAAGCATACTCATATCACCCGTCAAAGGTGAAGTCCTTGGCCGTCGGACGCGGGCCGCCCGTGCCGCCATCTCTCATTCCCGTGATAGCATCCCAGAAAGAAAGCGGCTCCTTGGGTGTCGCCGGAAGGAGGCCCTCGAGTGTCTTGCTTGGGACAGTAACAACCACACCGTCTTCCCGCACGTAGAGAATATCCGATTTGGGGTCTCCGGTAGCATGGTGGATATACCGATGGGATGATCAATCGGAGAAGGAGCAGTTGGCCGGGGTCCAAGAATTTTGGTCGAAGTCAACTACCGGACATCTACAGGATTGTCGGATATCTAGTAACCGATGGCCTGGGGATGCCCGGCGCCGGAGCCGAAGTAGCTGACGGTGGTCGGTGTAGGAACCGGTTGGGTAACAACGGCCGTCGGAGGAGAAGCCAAGGATGCAGCCGGATGGGTAATAGGAGCAAAAATAAGGCACGCTTGGTGTTGGGCTGGGAGGTGGTGGAGTGATGCCTTGGGAAGATTTGGCCCAGTTGGGAGGTGGTGTTGTGGGTTGGCCCAGTTAGGGGGAGGTGTTATGATGGGCTGGGAGATGGTGTTGTGAATTGGCCCATTTAATGGTGAGGGAGATATCTGGTTGGGAGGTTGAAGAGGCCTTGGGCCCAAAGTGAGGGTTAGCCCAAAATGATTGAAGGTCGAATGATGGAGACTTGGGCCTGGGGGTAGATTATGAACAAACTCATCCAGACTGAGCTGAGGGTTTACCTTCTCGCCACCACCACCAGGAGATTGATATGGCAAGGATGTTAGACTAATAATCACCGGAGAATTCTGAATGACATTTGTCAGGGGTTCCCGAGTGACACTTGTCGGGCCAAAATTTTGGGAAGTTATGCGACTTTTAGTTAAATTGTTAGGGTTCTCTCTAGTTGCTAGGTTAGTTCTATGTAGTTGGTAGGTTAGTTCTCTGTAGTTGCTAGGTTAGTTGTCTGTAATTGCTAGGTTAGTTATCTGTAGTTGCTAGTTTTTTTATATATATATATATATACAAACAACGCCCCGTAGGGCGGGGGATTGGGCTGGATCCCCAACCTGTATATAGATCAGGACCCCAATAC